CCTCAACACTGTCAAACTATTTACTAAGCCTGAATTACTATTACTATTAATCTTCCCATTGTTCTTACTATCCATATATTTTATTAGTTTTAAAATTATAAAAAAAACATAAAATCTCCATTAACGTCCGAGGTGTCGTGTATATACATATTTGCTAAATATATATCAGGTAAATTCAAAACTTCAATTACTAAAGATAAGCATATCCTGACATCAAGATCTTATCCTATTATTCAACCATTTGTACCACCTTTCCCATACTACATATTTTGAGTTCACATCACTATTAAGATCGCTCGTTAATTTTGACATTTCTGCACATTCTAAGATTTTGTTTATTAGTATTTCCTCTGGAATTCCTACTGATAACAAGTTCAAACAGGTGCCATTAATACAGGTATTGAGTGGAGGACAGAGGAGCCTCTTAAAGAAGTTGTTACAGGTCTGTGAGAGCCAGAAATCTTGCTTGTTTGTAGGTGACCAAATACTTATTTTCCACCATAATTTGCAAATAAATTCTTTCCAAATCAGACAATGTGATTGTTTGGATTTGTTTTCTCATTTTGTCCCTCATAGTTGAGGTCTACCTATGATGTCAATTACAGGCCTCTCTCATCTTTTTAAGTGGGAGAACTTCCACAATTGGTGGCTGACTAAATACTTTTTTGTCCCACTGTACATGGAATACAGCCATTTTTGGCCTCCTGAAGCCTTGCCCCACATGTCCCGTTTTTGTGAAAAATTGGCCCGTTTTTGCAAAAACAGTGTGCAGAGACCCTTTGGGAGGTCTGCAGGCTGCTCCAATACAAATTTATCCCTGTAACAAAGATAGCTAACACTATTAGTTAACGCTAGAGAAATCCCCTGAATCAACCAATCTAGAGCAGTGATTCTCAGCTGGGGGTTCCTTTTGAATTTGCTGACCACCAGCGAGTGGGAGAAAGCAATTTCACAGAGGAGGGGATGGAGAGGGCTGTGGGATGAATTCACACCCATTCCCAGACCCCCTTGGGATCAACCTGCAGCCCTCCCCTGCCTCCTCAGGCGGTGGAGCGTGTGTGTGGGGGATTCTTTTCAAGAAGTCACAAGGAGGGCTGAGAGCTGGTTTCTGCCCCACAAGTAAGATTTGGTCCAGAACCAACCCCAACATGAAGGTCTTTTATTTGCTCCTTGTACTCCTTGTCTTTGCATTTTTAACAGGTAATAAATTAAATTTCTGATGTTGTCAAAGTAGCTCGTAACTCACCTTTCTAGACAGCTATTATCATGTCTAAAAGCAAGATACTCTTCTCCATCTTTTGTCTGGAGTACCATTTAATCCAGAGCCTTTGAATTCCAGAAGTCCAAGTTTAAAGAATGTCCAAGTTTAAAGAATGGACTTCTGGAATTAAAGCTCCATTTTTTAGCTAAAACTTAATTCACACCTGTTAGTTTTGCTTGAGCAGTGTGAACAATTGACAGTGTGATCCTCCAAAGATCTGAAAAATATATCATTGATTTTCCTTTGGCATTTAAACTAGATAACCAATGTGAAAAAGTGCATCAAGGAAGGACTGGAAAGCCAATTCATACTGAACTGTATTGGGTTTTCTGTTGTTATTTGAATAAAAGGAAAAGAAATCAAATAGTGGTACCTAGTGCGGAAAAAGAGATGAAATCATGGGTCATTCTCAACACTTGAATTTTCTACACATAAAATATCTAGAAATTATTATTGTTAAGTGAGTTTTGCCCCATTTTATGATTTTTCTTGGCATAGTTCAAATCAGAGCTTAAATCAAAGATTTGATAGTTCAAATCAAAGTTCAAATCAAAGATTTCTGAGACCAATGTTGAATATTTCAGTAGTCACCAATCCCAGTCTTAAAATGAGTTTAAAATCAGTGGGAGTCACTGATAACAATAAACTACTAGCCTTTCTTTTCCTTCTGTCCAAGTTTTGCAAGTACTTTTTCCAGGTATATGTTTTATTCCAAAGTATACAAACCATTATTGTTAGGGAAAAAATGGGTTTTCCAAACAATTTTAAAAGACACTGTCAGAATGACTCTGCTCTCAGCCCCCCTTGTGGCTCCTTGAAAAGCATCCCACCCCCACATATGTAAATGAAAAGAATAAGCTTAAAAATCCTAGCCTTTTAAAATTGAAAATATGGAGAATTGGGAGGATGAATATGAGACACTAAAGGAGATGTTTCAAAAAGTAAGGGAGGCATTTAAGGGAAATAAAGAAGCAGAAAATTGGTTAGCTTGCAAAAAAAAAAAAGAGAAAAGATGAATGAGAAGCAAGAGAAACAAGGAGATAATATTGAAAAGAAAATAATTGGGAAAAAAGATAAAGATGATGACACTGGGTTCAATAGTGATAGAATACAAATGAATTGAAAGTAGTTAACAAAGTTAAATACCTGGGAATTTGGTTATCTGGCAGATGCTCGAGTATACAAGAAGACAACTATAATAAATTATTAATTCAAATAAGAAAAGATTTAGATAAATGGGGTAAAATTCAACTTTCACTTCTGGGACGAGTAGCAACAGTTAAATCCTATATTCTACCGAAATTTAATTTCTTATTTCAAACAGCTTTAGTGAACCTATCCAAAAAATTTTTTATGGAATTAAATCAGATAATAACTAAATTTGTTTGGCAGGGGAAAAAGCCTCGGATTAAAAGAAAGATGATGCAGGAGATAAAAGAAAGAGGGGGCCTGGGCTTACCCTGTTGGGAGAATTATTATTCAGCAGCTTTGTTAGTATGGGTAAAAGAATGGATTACCTTGGGTAACAATCGTCTTCTCAAATTAGAAGGTTATGATCTACAACAGGGTTGGCACGTGGCCCTCTGGCGAGACAGTAACCCACAAAGTAAATGGTTTACTAGACATTATATAAGAAATATCCTAATTAGAAACTGGGAAAAGATTAGCAAAAAATACTGTATTAAAACACCGTGCTGGATATCACCGGTGGAAGCACTGACATATCCCAAAATCTACAATCCGACAAAGAAATTAATATATAAGGAGTTATTGAATGCACAGGGAAATTTAAAATCTAAACAGGAATTGAATTCTTTAGGAATACAAATGGACTGGTGGACTTACTTACAGATTCAATCTAAATTTAAGAAAGATAGAGATGGGAAAGGCATACATCTGGACTTACAAGAATTAGACAAAATTTTGATGGGACAAGAAAAAGGCATGATTGCAAAAAGTTACAAATTATTAATGAGATTAGAGATAGGAGAGGAAGTAATCAAAGATACAATGATCGCCTGGGCGAAAAATTTTGGTTACCCAATTCATTTAGACAAATGGCAAGGGATTTGGGGTGAGAATATGAAATCAGTGGTATCCACGGCATATAAAGAGAATATCTATAAGATGATATACAGGTGGCACCTCTCCCCCTATAGATTGGCTAAATGTTCACTGGACAATCGGCGGAATGCTGGAAATGTGGGCAGGAGAGAAACAGTTACTATCATCAATGGTGGACAAAGTGAGGTCGGATAGACCTAATTGATGTATGAAGAGAGATAAGTCATTCTGTCTCCTTCGGAATATAATGTACTTGCAGATATGTTTGTTATTTGTTACGTTGTCTTGTATGTTATTTATATGGTGTGTTGTTGTTTTTTTGTGTGTTCTCTTTTTAATGGAAAATGTAAATAAAGACTATTTTTAAAAAAAAAATAATGATTGAATAAAAATGGATATGAGAAAATACATCTGAAATATGAAGAAAAGAGAAATAAATGAGGTAAGATGGAGAATGAAAAGTAATAGAGTTAAAGTTAAAGGAAAAAGGCTGAAGGGGAGATATAAGAACAGGAAAAAGAAGAAGGTAAAGAAATGGGAGAAAGGGAGGAAAACATCAAGAAAGAGAACTGTGGAGAGACTAAGAGGAAATGGTTAAGAGTCAGTGAAAACGTTAATTTGTTAATAAAGAGAAGGATGCTAGTTGTAGAAATTATATGTGAAAATGCTGTTAAATGAAAAATAGAACAATGTTATCCAAGCTAAGACTTAATCCTTTTTTACTTTCACCAACATATATCATTAAAGATATTTCAATTGTTACAGTTTATACTTATTCATATTTCTAAAAAAAAGAAAAGAAAAACTTATCATTGTCTAGATTTCAAAAATACAAAGACAAATATTCCAATTATTATTCATTTCATTTTTACAATCATGATTTCCCATTTATTTCTTACTACTATTCATATTTCAATTCTAAATATGTATAACATCTCTTTCCTTTCTTTTTCTTTTTCTCTCTTCCCATTTTTATTTTTGTCTTTTTCTTTCTCCTTTTCCTTTGTGTTTTAAAATCTTGAACTCTCCTCTTTTGCCCTAAATTTTCCATTGTTTGCACCTCCTTTTTTAGTGAGGAAAAAGAAGAAAAAGAAATCTCCCTCTGCCTCTTTTTCCTTGCAGCAAACAGCAAACAGCCTTCTTTACTTTCAGTTTCGTTTTCAGCATAGCTTGACTAGCACAAGGGGGAAAAAATCTGCTCCAACACTCTTTGCAGCAAGCAGCAGAATCCTGCACAAAACAGCTGGGAGAGTTGGGAGGCCAATCTAATGAACTAATAGGCTAATTAGCCTATGCTGAATCTGAAAGGAGCTGTTTTTTCTTGCTGTTTGCTTGCAAGGAGGTACAGGCAAAAGGGGGGGGCTACCCCCGCCACCCTCCTTGCCACTTAGCGCCCCCCTGCCGCCCCCTTTTGCCTCTAGCGCTCCCCTGCCACCCCCCATGCCTCTTACTGCCCCCCTAAATCATCCCACTGCCCACCACTTTGGTACCGCCCACTTTGGGAACCACTGCTTTAGGTCATCACTCATCACTTTGGAAAATCCATGTGCATTTTCTTGTGTGCAATAAGGTTGGAATGTTTCCTGAAGGACCGTCCACTCTTGGGGCACTTAAATGGATTCTCCCGTATGTATAAGCACATGATTTAAAAGGCTAGTCTTAGTATTGAAATCTTTCCCACAGTCTGGGCACTCATATGGTTTCTCTCCTGTGTGAGTCCTCTGGTGTCTCGCCAGCTCAGAATTCCAAAGGAAACTTTTCACACAATCTGGACATTCAAATGGTTTCTCTCCTGTGTGAGTCTTCTGGTGTTTCACCAGGCTGGAATTGTGACTGAAACTTTTCCCACAATCAGAACATTCAAATGGTTTCTCTCCTGTGTGAGTCTTCTGGTGTTTCAGCAGGCTGGAATTGTGACTGAAACTTTTCCCACAATCAGGACATTCAAATGGTTTCTCTCCTGTGTGAGTCCTCTGGTGTGTCACCAGGCTGGAATTGTGACTGAAATTTTTCCCACAATCAGGACATTCAAATGGTTTCTCTCCTGTGTGAGTCCTCTGGTGTATCACCAGATTGGAATTGTCACTGAAACCTTTCCCACAATCAGGACATTCAAATGGTTTCTCTCCTGTGTGAGTCCTCTGGTGTGTCACCAGGCTGGAATTGTGACTGAAACTTTTCCCACAATCAGGACATTCAAATGGTTTCTCTCCTGTGTGAGTCTTCTGGTGTGACACCAGATTGGAATTGTTACTGAACCTTTTCTCACAATCAGGACATTCAAATGGTTTCTCTCCTGTGTGAGTCCTCTGGTGTATCACCAGGCTGGAATTGTGACTGAAACTTTTCCCACAATCAGGACATTCAAATGGTTTATCTCCTGTATGAGTCCTCTGGTGTGTCACCAGGGTGTAATTGTAACTGAACCTTTTCCCACAATCAGGACATTCAAATGGTTTCTCTCCTGTGTGAGTCTTCTGGTGTGTCACCAGATTGGAATTGTTACTGAATCTTTTCCCACAATCAGGACATTCAAATGGATTCTCTCCTGTGTGAGTCCTCTGGTGTATCACCAGGCTGAAATTGCGAGTGAAACTTTTCCCACAATCAGGACATTCAAATGGTTTCTCTCCTGTGTGAGTCCTCTGATGTGTCACCAGGCTGAATTTATGACTGAAACGTTTCCTACAATCAAGACATTCAAATGGTTTTTCACCTGTGTGAATTCTCTGGTGTTTCACCAGGTTGGAATTTTTATTGAAACTTTTCCCACAATCAGAACATTCAAAGGGTTTCTCTCCTGTGTGAGTCCTCTGGTGTTGAACCAGCTTAGAATTCTGACTGAAACTTTTCCCACAATCAGGACATTCAAAGGGTTTCTCTCCTGTATGAGTCCTTTGTTGTCTCATGAGGTGGTAATTTCCAATGAAACTTTCACACAATTTGGACATTCTTATGTGATGGGTGTCCTGTGATGTATCACCATGTTGCCATGCTCACTAAAGTATTCACATCTGGAGCACTCGTATGTCTTCTCTTCTGTGTGAGTCGTTCCATGAAACACAAGGAAGCTGTTCTGACCAAACTTTTTGGCATATTCAGATAATTTGTATGGCTTTTCTGCAGTTAGGATCTTCTTGTTAAATCAGCTATGATTTGCAATTTGTGCTTTTTCTACAATAGGCAGATCTATGGAGTTTTTCCACAACTGATATTCTTGAGGTCAAAAATATGTGTGATCTATTGTTTAGAGGTGTTTTGATTAAAGCCATTTGCTTCTTCCCAGAGCAAGGTCTGTATCATTGTCTGTCCTATGTGCCCTGCCCAATAAGACCTTTTCCTTTCCCCTAACTTCCAGATATTTCCATCTTTTTCTGAATGAAAAATAATGTTCTTTGATCTTTCATGCAATGTATCCTTGAGTTTCGTATCCTCTACTTTTTCCAGCTCAAAATCTCATGTTAATTTTCTCTCTTTTGTCTATTAGCTGCTGGAGAAGGAGAATTATGTGGTTTTCTGAAGGAAATTGAATATATTTTGATTTCTGGCTCAAAATATATGGCTTTTATTTCCTTTTCAACGTTGCTTGTTTTTCTCAGTTGTCCAAAGTTCTCTTATTGTCATCCTCTTTATCTATAAGTTTCAAACAAAAGTGTAACTTTAATTATGTATAAAATGGTTGCAGAAGATGTGAAAAAAAGTATACATTACAACGAAAAAGCAAACATGCCACAATGCTAGAATAATCTCTTATATTAATAATGATTCATTTGACACAAGGAAGAGTACCAAGATATCTATTCAACCATGAAATTGTTGTTGTTGACTTGGGTCAATCATAAATTCTTGGCACTGCAAAGGGTTATCCTGAAATATATCTGGATGTACTGAGGATAGATTATATAATTGCAGATATATGCATATAGAAAGAAATACAGATACAAACACCTACAAATGAATATATGTGGAAGCTCCATGAGTTTTCAGCCTGACAAAATGTCCCAAAATGGTTAATGTCAAACCTTCTGAGCTAAATTTAGAGATGTGGGGGCTTTAACTGAGGAAATGATGCCGAAAGCCTCTGCAAGATTTGAAGCACCAGTTTTGCTCATGAAAGTCCTCAGCTGCAAATAAGAGAAGAAAATGCTGTCTACAACCCCTTCTGGTGGCATCCCAATTCAAGCAATCCTGACTTACTGAGTGCAATTGGGACTGGCTTCTGTGTCACTAAGCAGCCGGTCATGAAGCATGATGTCACATGACAGTGCCAACTTGCATCTGTTCCACAAACTGCGACTTGCAATTTCCTGCTGGCATCCCTACTAATTTTGCTTCAGAATCTAGCTGAGAAGGTCACAAACGGGGATCCTGAGTTTGGGATGCTGCAGCCATCATAAATGTGCAACGGTTGGCAGAACCCAACTTGGTGTCTCTCCTTTTCCTGCACCTTCATAACCACAGGAACGCTTTTTCGGAAAAACGGGCCAAAAAAAGCCTCGACAATGGCCCCAAAAAACCTCAAAAATGGCCCCAAAAGCCTCAAAAACAGCCCCATAGAAGCCTCATAAATGGGGGAAAAAAGCCTCAAAAATGGACCAAAAAAAGCCTAAAAAATGAGCTGAAAAAAGCACCCAAAATAGCCGAAAACAGCCCCAGAAACAGGCCAAAAAAAGATTGGAAAAGGCCCGAAAAAAGGTAGGCCAAAAACTTTTTTTGGTTGTTTTCCTCTTCTAATTTTAGTTGTGTCATTTAGTCAGGTGCGTCTTGTAGTCCAAAAAATACGGTAAAGCCAGTTGAACCTGGTTAATACCCGGATGCGGCACCAATAGGAAATATCGTGCTTTTGGCAAGACCTGGAAGTTAAAATACATAAACCCTAGAAAAAAACTAGTGGCAGAATCACTGCAATTTGGTTGCCAAGAGAATAGCAAGCCCGTAACAGAATAGGTTATGAGTTGGAAGAGACCTTGGAGGTCTTCTAGTCCAATCTCCTTCTCAGGCAGGATACCCTATAACATTCCAGACAAATGGCTGGCCAATCTGTCTTAAAGCACGAGTGTCACACTTGCCATGTCATGTTGCCGTCACGTGACATTTTGTGACATTCTACCCATTTATGGAGCTGGGATGGGTGTGGCCTGCATGTAACGCATCCAGCCCATGGGCCGCCAGTTTGTCACCCCTGTCGTAAAAGGTTCCAAATGAATCTAGATGACAATTTGTCATCGAAAAGGTAGAAAAGGGAACTATAGTGATCTAAATTTTTACTAGCAGAGAGGAAATTATAAGGGGGGGGGAGGTTTGAAGTTGCAGGTAAATAGGGGGAAGAGTGACCATGTCATACTGGAATTCAATATAACGCAGACACAAGCAATAGAGCAAAATCAAACTAATGTCTTAGACTTTAAAGCAGCCGATTTTAACAAACCAAGAGACAGCTTGGGAAGGATTCCATGGATGAAAATCTTAAACAGGAAAACAACTCAAGAAGCCTGAGAAACTCTGGCTGCCTAAAGAGAGGGATAGAATCGAGATCACATGAAGTATTAGTACCAATTGATAATGCTTTAAATTAAAATCACACTTGGATTACTGCAACCACTTTTCATCACCACAATATAAAACAGACGTGGAGACTCTATAAAGAGCGCAGAGAAGAGCAGAAGGGATAATTAGTGGGTTGCAGTAATTGGGAATGAATCGCCTAGTGAAAGGAAGGACTAGGGGTGACATGATAGCAGTGTTCCAATACTTGAAGGGTCAACTTCTTTTCCAAAGCACCAGAAGGACAAGACAAGAAGCAATGCATGGAAACTAATCAAGGAGAGAGAAAAACCTGGAATTAAGGAAAAATCCCATCAGTGAGAACAATTAGCCAGTGGAAGGGAATGGCTGCAATTTTCTGCTGCCTGGAAGACTGAAAAAGTCCCTTTTGAGTGAAGGTTGATTCTTCGGGAATGGCTTCCCTCCAGAGGTTGTGGGGGCTCCATTGCTGGTGGCTTTTAAACCGACGGGACAGCCATTTGTCTGAGACGTCATTAAGACCTCCAAGGTTTCTTCCAGCTCTCTTCCAAACCTCCAGTGACGGAGCTCCCTCTGGAGGGAAACCAGCCCCAAAGGCTCAACCTGCATTGGAAGGAGGCTTTTTCAAGCTTCCCACCAGCAGAAACTTGCAGCCCCCAGTTTCCCAGCCTGCAGCACCAGTGGGCTTCCATTTGGGGAGGGAAGGAACCTGCAGCAGCCGCAGCTGAGAGGCTTCAGCCCAGTTGCTTCTCCGCTTCCAGCCCAAGTTGCTCCCGGACTCTCCTCCCACCTGCTGCCCTCCACTCACCTGCCAGCTGCTGCTTCCACCATGGAAACAGCACAAAAGCCGCTCTGCACACCAACTTCCTCCCATCAGCCATCCGGAAGAGGAAGTTCCTCTGCGCGTCTCCTCTCCTCCCAGCCTTTCTAGCAATGCAGTACTTGATGATTTTAACTCCTTAAACACAACCACAGGCGCCGCCTGCTGTACCGTCCGCTTTCTAGCCACTGGTGTTGCCTGTTTGAGCGCCATCTCCAGACAGGCAGAAAAACGCGCTTGTCCCCTCTCTTATCTAAGGCGGTTGCAATGTGTTTTCACTGATTAAATGCTACCGTCATTTTTGACTTCTGGCAACTGACCCAAACGAAAGAGTGAAATGTGATACCTCTAAGCTTACGAAGATTAGTTATGAGCCCTGAAAGTTCATGACATTTTTATTTTATTTTATTTTATTTGTAAAGCATATATAAGAAAACATATAAAAGCATAAACATAATTGGAATACATGAAAAGAATAAGAGTCAAAAGGGACATGAGGACAGGAGCGATGGTGCACTTATGCCTTACAGACCCCTTAGCAATGGGGTGAGGTCAACAGTAGACAGTCTAAGGTTAAAGTTTTGGGGGTTTGGGGAAGAAACCAGAGAGTCAAATAGTGCATTCCAGGGATTGACCACTCTGTTGCTGAAGTCGTATTTTCTGCAATTGAGTTTGGAGCGGTTTACCTTGCATTTGTATCTCTTATTTTCTCATATATTGTTGTGCTTGAAGCTGAAATAATAATTGACAGAATTTTTTTTTTTTGACAGAATTTGCTATCTTAGGGGGTGACTCTCGATAGAGATCAACGCCTCTCTACATCCCAAAAGTTTAAAACTGATTTTCTGTGGCTCCCAAGATTTTAGGACCTGCCAGGCCCATCAAGTCAAGATACTCCAAGGGAGTGCTATTTTTAAGGTTTATAAACTGTAGTGGAACATGGAGGATGACTATGTACAGCATTTTATGATTCAGTGGGCAAAGAACTTTGGATGTAAATAATGTTTGAACATTATTCACCTGACATCAAAAACATCATCAAAAAAGCACACCAAAGAATGTTCTTTCGGCGTCAACTCAGGAAGCTCAAACAGCCCAAGGAACTGCTGATACAGTTCTAAAAAGGAATTATTGAGTGTGTCATCTGCACTTCTATAACTGTCTGGTTTGGTTCTGCAACCCAACAAGACAGACACAGACTTCAGAGGATAATTAGAACTGCGGAATATACAGTTACTACCAACCTGCCTTCCATTGAGGACCTGTATACTGCATGAGTCAAAAAGAGGGCTGTGAAAATATTTAGACACCTAAACTGTTTCAACTCCTACCCTCAAAATGACGCTATAGAGCACTGCACACCAGAACAACTAGACACAAGAACAGTTTTTTACTGAATGCCATCTCTCTGCTAAACAAATAATTCCCTCAACACTGTCAAACTATTTCCTAAGTCTGAATTACTATTACTATTAATCTTCCCATTGTTCCTATCACCCATCTCCTCCCACTTATGACTGTATGACCAGGGTGGATAAAAATCAATGATTTTTTAAAAAAATAAATAAAAAAAATCGGATTTTTTTTATTTAAATCGGATTTTTTTATTTAAATCAGATTTTTTTTATTTTTATTGAATTTATTTTAATAAAAAACTTTTGGGGTAAAAATCTATTGTAACATAGTTTTCTATTTAAGATACATAAATAATTTAGTTTATTCAGCATGAAATGGAGCTTAGTTATGTAGCTCAAGGCTGTATATTCTGCAACAGTGGGACTATCAGTGAGTCAACAGCGGGTCAAAGGAGTAGCAGAGATGACAGTTGCTCTTTAAAAATTATAATTTAAATCGAGTTGATTTAAATCAAGACTTTTTACTAGTGATTTAAATCATGATATAAATCATGATTTAAATCGACTCGATTTAAATCAAATCCACCGTGTATGACTGTTACTTTGTTGCTTGTATCCTTCCAATTTATATTGTATTATATTATATTTATTTATATTATATTTATATTTCCTACTATGATTTACTTATTTGTACCCTATGACTATCATTAAGTGTTGTACCTTATGATTCTTGACAAATGTATCTTGTCTTTTTATGTACAGTGAGAGCATATGCACCAAAGACAAATTCCTTGTGTCCAATCACACTTGGCCAATAAAGAATTCATTTCCATTCAATCCTATCCTATCGTATCCTATTCTCAGTCATGGAAAGTCCCCAGTGATTATCCAGACCGACCATTGAGTTGCAACTAGGTTTCTCCACATGCCAGTCCTGATCTGCTCCTGGTCACCGAGTATCCTTCAAAGGGATCAGATGCAATGTGACCTACTAAAAAACATTGTAACCTGTCTTTTTGAATCTTGTGGGTGAAATGAACGATCTTGGAATTCTACGGTGTCTTCCAATCCCAGCAAAATCAGGATAATCCATCTGCATAGCTAAAATACCACATTCACTGCTACAAATAATGTTCCTCTTTAATTGAAGGAATTTTTTAAACAAATTAAGGAGTCCTGGGAGAGAAGTGAAAGAACAGGAAAGATCTTCCATGTGTTGGGAAGAGAGCTTTGCATTACATTGTCCCAATGTTTACAGAACTGCTGACACTTTCCTTCCCCCCCCCTCAAAATCTATTCATGAGTCTTATGCAATGCTGTTTTAGAAATGAAACATCTACTGTACAATTTTTTTCCTCACATTTCCCTACCAAGGGGGGAACCACCAAAGTATCAATCCCTTGGTTCTGCTCACACCTCCCAGCCATCAAAGACTAACAAGGAGGAACCTCCAAGCGAAGGAGATCACAACAGGAGTTACGAATGAACCTGGAGATCCTGTAGTCAAAAACACAATCCCTTTCCTCAACTCAATATTCCTACAGCTCTTCTCCATGAAGGTCACATGCAAGGCAGAGTAGCCTTTGCATCTGAAATTTTACACTGCTTTTCTCACTGCCCCAAATTCCCCCAATATATTTGTTATTCATCTGGTTTCTTCCACTTGCGTGCCTCATTCACAACCTGAGCAGACATGCTTGGTGCAATGAATTGTTAGGAAAAGATAAACTATTTCTCTTTCCTCTTGTTTTCTCCTTCCATGAGGACCCACAATCTCTAACTATAGCCTGAGTGCTCTTATCCCGAAGAGATGCTGCCTGGGAAATTCTGGGGTGGAAAATCTCGAGGATACCCAGGGAGAAAAAGGCTGGTACTCTGCATGTGGCATTTCTAGCACTGATTATGATAAAAATGCAGAGAACACTCCTAAAATGATTTTTGCAGAATTGCACAATTTCTGCAGAAATAAATACCCAGCAACTTCTGCTGCTGATGGCCAGCCAGACAGCCTTTATCAAACTAACATGTTCCAATTTTTTCTTTCCTCCTTCCCATCTAAGACTATGACATACTTGATGACAAAAACAATCAAGCAAATTCTTTCTGGTCAAATTGAAGAGTCAATTTCTCAGCTGGACTTAAAATTCAAGCCTTTACACTCATCACTTTAGGTCAGAGGTTCCCAAACTTTTTCAGTCCACCGCCCCCTTGGTACTACAAACTCACCCTCAGTGCCCCCCACCCAGGGGTGGGTTCTACTTACCTTTACTACCGGTTTGCAGTGGGGCCACGAACGCTCACTTCGCTCACGCATGTACGCACTCTTCTGCACATGCACAGAAGCGTTTTGGTGATGTCGGGGTCGGTGGGTGGGGCCTCCTGCCAGTTTTACTGCCCACCACTGCCCCCACCCCCACCCCCTATAAATAGCATTGTTTGGAATAGCGGTTTGCATGACCCACTAAGGAAGATAGTAACAGTAAAATACACGGAATACAGACATTTTTGGCCTCCTGAAGCCTTGCCCCGCATGTCCCATTTTTGTGAAAAACCGGCCCGTTTTTTGCAAAAACAGGGTGCGCAGAGCCTTTGGGAGGTCTGCAGGCTGTTCCAATACAAATTTATCCCTGTAACAAAAATAGCTAACACTATTAGTTAACGCTAGAGAAATCCCCTGAATCAACCAATCTGGAGCAGTGATTCTCAGCTGGGGGTTCCTTTTGAATTTGCTGACCACCAGCGAGTGGGAGAAAGCAATTTCACAGAGGAGGGGATGGAGAGGGCTGTGGGATGAATTCACACCCATTCCCAGACCCCCTTGGGATCAACCTGCAGCCCTCCCCTGCCTCCTCAGGCGGTGGAGCGTGTGTGGGGGGGGGATGCTTTTCAAGAAGTCACAAGGAGGGCTGAGAGCTGGTTTCTGTCCCACAAGTAAGATTTGGTCCAGAACCAACCCCAACATAAAGGTCTTTTATTTGCTCCTTGTACTCCTTGTCTTTGCATTTTTAACAGGGAATAGATTAAATTTCTGATGATGTAAAAATAGCTCATAACTCACCTTTCTAGACAGCTATTATCATGTCTAAAAGCACGATACTCTTCTCCATCTTTTGTCTGGAGTACCATTTAATCCAGAGCCTTTGAATTCCAGAAGTCCAAGTTTAAAGAATGTCCAAGTTTAAAGAATGGACTTCTGGAATTAAAGCTCCATTTTTTAGCTAAAACTTAATTCACACCTGTTAGTTTTGCTTGAGCAGTGTGAACAATTGACAGTGTGATCCTCCAAAGGTCTGAAAAATATATCATTGATTTTCCTTTGGCATTTAAACTAGATAACCAATGTGAAAAAGTGCATCAAGGAAGGACTGGAAAGCCAATTCATACTGAACTGTATTGGGTTTTCTGTTGTTATTTGAATAAAAGGAAAAGAAATCAAATAGTGGTACCTAGTGCGCAAAAAGAGATGAAATGATGGGTCATTCTCAACACTTGAATTCTCTACACATAAAATATCTAGAAATTATTATGGTTAAGTGAGTTTAGCCCCATTTTACGATTTTTCTTGGCATAGTTCAAATCAGAGTTCAAATCAAAGATTTGATAGTTCAAATCAAAGTTCAAATCAAAGATTTGATAGTTCAAATCAGAGATTTGATAGTTTAAATCAAAGCTTTCTGAGACCAATGTTGAATATTTCAGTAGTCACCAATCCCAGTCTTAAAATGAGTTTAGAATCAGTGGGAGTCACTGATAACAATGAACTACTAGCTACTGATAATGAGTCCAGTCCTGCCTTTCTTTTCCTTCTGTCCAAGTTTTGCAAGTACTTTTTCCAGGTATATGTTTTATTCCAAAGTATACAAACCATTATTGTTAGGGAAAAATGGGTCTTCCAAGCAATTTTAAAAGACACTGTCAGAATGACTCTACTCTCAGCCCCCCTTGTGGCTCCTTGAAAAGCATCCCCCCCACATATGTAAATGAAAAGAATAAGCTTAAAAATCCTAGCCTTTTAAAATTGAAAATATGGAGAATTAGGAGGATGAATATGAGACACTAAGGGAGATGTTTTAAAAAGTAAGGGAGGCATTTAAGGGAAATAAAGAAGCAGAGAATTGGTTAGCTTGCAAAAAAAAAGAAAGAGAAAAGATGAATGAGAAGCAAGAGAAACAAGGAGATAATATTGAAAAGGAAATAATTGGGGAAAAAAGATAAAGATGATTACACTGGGTCCAATAGTGATAGAATAAAAATGGATATGGGAAAATTCATCTCAAATATGAAGAAAAGAGAAATAAATGGGGTAAGATGGAGAATGAAAAGTAATAGAGTTAAAATTAAAGGAAAAAGGCTGAAAGGGAGATATAAGAACAGGAAAAAGAAGAAGGTAAAGAAATGGGAGAAAGGGAGGAAAACATCAAGAAAGAGAACTGTGGAGAGACTAAGAGAAAATGGTTAAGAGTCAGTGAAAACGTTAATTAGTTAATAAAGAGAAGGATGCTAGTTGTAGAAATTATATGCGAAAATGCTGTTAAATGAAAAAAAGAAAAATGTTATCCAAGCTACAACTTAATCCTTTTTACTTTCAGTACCATATATCATTAAAGGTATTTCGATTGTTACAGTTTATACTTATTCATATTTCTAAAAAAAAAAAAAAGAAAGAAAAACTTATCATTTTCAGCATAGCTTGACTACAACGGGAAAAAAAAATCTGCTCCGACACTCTTTGCAAGCAGCAGAGCCCTGCGCAAAACAGCTGACAGAGTCGGGAGGCCAATCTAATCAACTTGTGCTAATTAGCCTATGCTGAAGCTGAAAGGAGCTGTTTTTTCTTGCTGTTTGCTTGCAAGGAGGTAACTGCTGCAAGGCACAGGCCAAAGGGTGGGGGCCACCTTCCGCCACCCTCCTTGCCACTTAGCGCCCCCCTGCTGCCTCCTTTTGCCTCTAGCGCCCCCTGCCGCCCCCCTTGCCTCTTACTGCCCCCCTAAGTCATCCCACCGCCCCCCATTTTGGTACCGCCCACTTTGGGAACCACTGCTTTAGGTCATCACTTATCACTTTGGAAAATCCATCTGCATTTTCTTGTATGCAATAAGGGTGGAATGTTTCCTGAAGCACCGTCCACTCTTGGGGCACTTAAATGGTTTCTCCCGTGTGTATAAGCACATGATTTAAAAGGCTAGTCTTAGTACTGAAATCTTTCCCACAGTCTGGGCATTCATATGGTTTCTCTCCTGTGTGAATCCTCTGGTGTCTCACCAGCGCAGAATTCCAAAGGAAACTTTTCCCACAATCAGGACATTCAAATGGTTTCTCTCCTGTGTGAGTTTTCTGGTGTGTCACCAGACTGGAATTGCGACTGAAACTTTTCCCACAATCAGGACATTCAAATGGTTTCTCTCCTGTGTGAGTCTTCTGGTGTGTCACCAGACTGGAATTGCGACTGAAACTTTTCCCACAATCAGAACATTCAAATGGTTTCTCTCCTGTGTGAGTCCTCTGGTGTCTCACCAGCTCAGAATTCCAAAGGAAGCTTTTCCCACAATCAGGACATTCAAATGGTTTCTCTCCTGTGTGAGTCTTCTGGTGTATCACGAGGCTGGAATTTTGACTGAAACTTTTCCTACAATCACGACATTCAAAGGGTTTTTCTCCTGTGTGAGTCTTCTGGTGTGCCACCAGATTGGAATTGTTACTGAACCTTTTCCCACAATCAGGACATTCAAATAGTTTCTCTCCTGTGTGAGCCTTCTGGTGTGTCACCAGATTGGAATTGTTACTGAACCTTTTCCCACAATCAGGACACTCAAATGGATTCTCTCCTGTGTGAGTCCTCTGGTGTATCACCAGGCTGGAATTTTGACTGAAACTTTTCCTACAATCAGGACATTCAAATGGTTTCTCTCCTGTGTGAGTCCTCTGGTGTCTCACCAGCTCAGAATTCCAAAGGAAGCTTTTCCCACAATCAGGACATTCAAATGGTTTCTCTCCTGTGTGAGTCTTCTGGTGTGTCACCAGATTGGAATTGTTACTGAACCTTTTTCCACAAGCAGGACATTCAAATGGATTCTCTCCTGTGTGAGTCCTCTGGTGTATCACCAGACTGGAATTGCGACTGAAACTTTTCCCACAATCAGGACATTCAAATGGTTTCTCTCCTGTGTGAGTCCTCTGGTGTCTCACCAGCTCAGAATTCCAAAGGAAGCTTTTCCCACAATCAGGACATTCAAATGGATTCTCTCCTGTGTGAGTTCTCTGGTGTTTCACCAGGTTGGAAGTTTTATTGAAACTTTTCCCACAATCTGGACATTGAAAGGGTTTCTCTCCTGTGTGAGTCCTCTGGTGTGGCAGCAGGCTGGAATTGTGATTGAAACCTTTCCCACAGATAGGGCATTCAAAGGGTTTCTCTCCTGTGTGAGTCCTTTGTTGTCTCATGAGGTGGTAATTTCCAATGAAACTTTCACACAATTTGGACACTCTTATGTGATGGGTGTCCTGTGATGTATCACCATGTTGCCGTGCTCACTAAAGTATTCACATCTGGAGCACTCGTATGGCTTCTCTCCTGTGTGAGTCGTTCCATGAACCACAAGGAAACTGTTCTGACCAAACTTTTTGGCATATTCAGATAATTTGTATGGCTTTTCTACAGTTGGGATCTTCTTGTTTAATCAGCTATGATTTGCAATCTGTGCTTTTTCTACAATAGGCAGATCTATGGAGCTTTTCCACAACTGATATTCTTGAGATCAAAAATATGTGTGATCTATTGTTTAATGGTGTTTTGATTAAAGCCATTTGCTTCTTCCCAGAGCAAGGCCTGTATCATTGTCTGTCCTATGTGCCCTGCTCAGTAAGACCTTTTCCTTCCCACTAACTTCCAGATATTTCCATCTTTTTCTGAATGAAAAATAATCTTCCTTGATCTTTCATGCAATGTATCCTTGAGTTTCGTATCCTCTACTTTTTCCAGCTCAAAATCTCATGTTAATTTTCTCTCTTTTGTCTATTAGCTGCTGGAGAAGGAGAATTCTGTGGTTTTCTGAAGGAACTGGAATATATTTTGATTTCTGGCTCAATTTTATTTACTTTTCAACGTTGCTTGTTATTCTCAGTTGTCCAGAGTGCTCTTTTTGCCATCCTCTTTGTCTGTAAGTTTTAAAGAAAAGTGTAACTTTAATTGTGTATAAAATGGTTGCAGAAGATGTGAAAAAAAGTATACATTACAACAAAAAAGCAAACATTCCACAATGCTACAATAATCTCTTACATTAATTATGATTCATTTCAGACATGGAAGAGTACCAAGATTCAACCATGAAATTATGTTGTTGACTTGGGTCAATCATAAATTCTTGGCACTGCAAAGGGTTATCCTCAAATATATCTGGATGTACTGAGGATAGATTATATAATTGCAGATATATGCATATAGAAAGAAATACAGGTACAAACACCTACAAATGAATATATGTGGAAGCTCCATGAGTTTTCAGCCTGACAAAATGCCCCAAAATGGTTAATGTCAAGCCTTCTGAGCTAAATTTAGAGATGTGGGGGCTTTAACTGAGGAAATGATGCGAAAGTCTCTGCAAGATTTGAAGCACCAGTTTTGCTCATGACAATCCTCAGCTGCAAATAAGAGAAGAAAATGCTGTCTACAACCCCTTCTGGTGACATCCCAATTCGAGCAATCCTGACTTACTGAGTGCAGTTGGGACTGGCTTCTGTGTCACTAAGCAGCCGGTTATGAAGCATGATGTCACATGTCAATTTCCTGCTGGCATCCCTACTAATTTTGCTTCAGAATCTAGCTGAGAAGGTCACAAACGGGGATCCTGAGTTTGGGATGCTGCAGCCATCATAAATGTAAAACAGTTGGCAGAACCCAAGTTGGTGTCTCTCCTTTTCCTGCACCTTCATAACCACAGGAACGTTTTTTCGGAAAAACGGGCCAAAAAAAGCCTCAAAAACGAGCCAAAGGAGCCTCAAAAACAGCCCCCCAAAAGCCTCAAAAGCGGGCAAAAAAGCCTCAACAATGGCCCCCAAAAACCTCAAAAATGGGCCCAAAAGCCTCAAAAACAGCCCCCCAAAAGCCTCATAAATAGATCTTGTCTTAAAGCACCAGTGTCAAACTTGCCATGTCATGTTGCCGTCACGTGACATTTTGTGACATTCTACCCATTTGTGGACCTGGGGTGGGTGTGGCCTGCATGTCACGCATCCAGCCCATGGGCCGCCAGTTTGACACTCCTGTCTTAAAAGGTTCCTAATGAATCTAGTTGACAACTTGTCATCCAAAAGGTAGAAAAGGGAACTAAGGATCTCCTATAGTGATCTAAACTTTTACTAGCAGAGAGAAAATTATAGGGGGTGGGTTTTGAAGTTGCAGATAATTTGGGGAAAGAGTGACCATGTCATACTGGAATTCAATATAATGCAGACACAAGCAATCGAGCAAAATCAAACTAATGTCTTAGACTTTAAAGCAGCTGATTTTAACAAACCAAGAGACAGCTTGGGAAGGATTCCATGGATGAAAATCCTATACAAGAGCCTTGGTGGCGCAGCAGACTAAAGTGCTGTTTACTAGCACCAGCTGCCTGCAATTACTGCAAATTAAAATCTCACCAGGCTCAAGGTTGACTCAGCCTTCCATCCTTTCAAGGTAGATAAAATGAGGACCTGGATTGTGGGGGCAATAAGCTAACTTTGTATAAAAAAGAACACCGCTTAGGGGGGGCCGAAAGCCCTACTAAGCAGGTATATATATATTATATATATTATATATATCAGCAGGTGTATATATATATGTATATGTGTATATATATATATATATATATATATATATATATATATATATATATATATACATATACATATACATACATATATATACACATATACATATACATATACATATACACACACACACACACACATATATATATATATATATATATATATATATATGTATAGTTAATATTTCAGGTTTCTTCCCGTGTAATTGTGGATATATCCCTAAAAGGGTAGAAGCGACGTTTCGGCAGAATCCCATCTGCCATCTTCAGGCTTATGCCAGCAGTCATTTTGCACTAACTGACGTTGGAATTTCAAATCTGGTGCTGGTATTCTGGGATGGCTCCACCTTTTCATTCTGATTGGTTGGGAGTCCCAGTATGTGTTTATTGGCTTGGCTTCGGGTGCATGGTCGGTTTTTCTCCACTAGGTGGCAGGGCTTCATCTTTGTGGCTGGTTTGACTATGATTTGGTTGGGATTTTTTTATGCAATGTTTGGTCCATGTTCCACATATGGTGTCAAGATTCGTCTATCTATGAGAGCAGGTTTCCAAAGAGTAGGCAGACGTGAAGTGTCATCCCGTTTATTCATGCAATATGGTCTTATTTCCATTTCTATTGCTTCTCTGATTATCCTGCCATTGAGATGTTCTATTTTTGCAACTGTTTTTGTTTTATTAAAATTAATGTTGTGTCCTGTTGTGTTTACTTTACTTTACTTTACTTTATTCAAATTTCTATACCGCCCTTCTCCTTTCGGACTCAGGGCGGTGAACAGCCAAGATAAAAACATCTATACAAAACATCACAGTTAAAAAATAAAGTTAAAATAATTTATAAATTTGGCCCATAATTTAAAACTTGTCAATTTAAAATCAATATTAAAATTTTAAAACTAACCCTAAAATCAAGACAGACCGGCTAACTGGAAAAAATAAGTTTTTAGGGCCCGACGAAAAATCCGAAGGTCGGAGATCACTCGTATCTCTGGGGGTAGATTGTTCCATAGGGTAGGTGCCACCACAGAGAAGGCTCTCCTCCTGGGGGTCGTCAGCCGGCATTGTCTGGCCGACGGCACCCTGAGGAGGCCCTCTCTGTGGGAGCGAACCGGCCGGTGGGAGGCTATTGGTGGCAGAAGGCGGTCCCGTAAGTACCCTGGCCCTAAGCCATGGAGCGCTTTAAAGGTGATCACCAACACCTTGAAGCGCACCCGGAAGTCCACCGGAAGCCAATGCAGCTCGCGCAGGAGAGGAGTCACATGGGAGCGCCCCGTCGCTCCCATAATCCCCCGCGCAGCCGCATTCTGCACCAGTTGGAGCCTCCGGGTGTACCCCAAGGGGAGCCCCATGTAGAGAGCGTTACAATAGTCCAGACGAGAAGTGACGAGTGCTTGAGTGACTGTGCGTAGGGAGTCCCGGTCCAGAAAGGGGCGCAACTGGCGTATCAGGCGAACCTGACAAAAAGCCCCCCTGGCCACGGCTGTCATATGCCCTTCTAAAGACAGCCGCGCATCCAGGAGGACACCCAAGTTGCGGGCCCTCTCCGTGGGGGCCAATGATTCGCCCCCAATAACCAGCGATGGCGTCAGCTGGCTATACCGGGACGCCGGCAGCCACAGCCACTCGGTCTTGGAAGGGTTGAGTCGAAGCCTGTTTCTCCCCATCCAGACCCGCACGGCCTCCAGGCACTGGGACATCACTTCCAAGGCATCATTGGGATGGTCTGGGGTGGAAATGTACAGCTGAGTATCATCAGCGTACTGATGGAACTCCACCCCAAAACCACGGATGATCTCACCCAGCGGCTTCACATAAATGTTGAACAGGAGGGGCGAGAGGACCGACCCTTGCGGCACCCCACAAACAAGGCGCCTTGGGGTCGACCGCTGCCCCCCTGTCAACATGGATTGCGACCGGTCGGAGAGATAGGAGGAGAACCACCGCAAAACGGTGCCCCCCACTCCCAGTCCCTCCAGCCGGCGCAACATACCATGGTCGATGGTATCAAAAGCCGCTGAGAGGTCTAATAGGACCAGGATAGAGGAAGAACCCCTATCCCGGGCCCTCCAGAGATCATCCAGCAACGCGACCAATGCCGTTTCCGTGCTGTACCCAGGTCTGAAGCCGGACTGGAGCGGATCCAGATAGACAGCTTCATCCAGGTACTGGGGAAGCTGTCGCGCCACCACACTCTCAACAACCTTCGCAATAAAACGAAGGTTGGAGACTGGACGATAGTTAGCCAAAACAGCCGGGTCCAGGGATGGCTTCTTGAGGAGAGGCCTCACCACCGCCTCTTTCAAGGCGGCCGGCAGGACACCCTCGCTCAAAGAAGCGTTAATAATCCCCTGGAGCCAGCCTCGTGTAACCTCCCGGGAAGCCAGCACCAACCAGGAGGGACACGGGTCCAATAAACATGTGGTTGCGTTCAGCCGCCCCAAGATCCTGTCCACGTCCTCGGGAGCCACAGGATCGAACTCCTCCCAGATAACACTCTCAAGGCCTGCCTCAGTCGTCTCGTCTGAACTAACCCAGTCGGCGGCCAAGTCTTCCCGAATCTGAGTTATTTTATCATCCAGATACTGTACAAAATCCTCAGCTCGGCCCTGCAAGGGGTCCTCCCGCGCTCCCAGATGGAGGAGGGAGCGGGTCACCCTAAACAGGGCGGCTGGGCGGTTATCTGATGACGCAATAAGAGCGGCAAAATAGCTAGATTTCGCCGCTTTTATCGCCACTAGGTAGGTCTTAATATGAGACCTTACCAGTGTCAAGTCAGACTCGGAACGACTGGCCCTCCAGTCGTTTATATGTTGAACTAATGATGATGTGTGTTCTTGCTTTTGTATTGAGTTTTTGTGTTCCTCGATGCGCACACTCATTCTTCTGTTGGTCTGTCCAATGTATGTTGATGGGCAAGAAGCACATGGGATTTCATATATGCCTTGATCTTCTAATTCTATTTTGTCTTTGGGGTTTCTCAGAATGGACGATATCTTTCTATCTGTGCAAAATATGGTTTTGATGTTGTGTTTTTGTAGTACTTTGCTAATTTTATCTGTTGTTCCCCTTATATAGGGCAAGATGGCTTTCCCATTGTTTTGTTCCTCTTGTTGTTTTTTATTCTGTCTTGGTGTTGTATGTTTGATCATATTGATGACTTTATTTCTACAGAACCCATTTGATGTCAGTACATTAGTTAGTGTATATAATTCTGTTTGTAAATGTGCTTCATCAGCCAGACGTTTAGTTCTTGTGGTTAATGTTTTGGCAACAGAGTTTATTTGTGCTGGATGGTGGTGTGATTTGGCGTTGAGATAGCGGTTCGTATGTGTCTTCTTTTGATAGATGGTATGTCCTAAGGTGCCATCAGATTTTTTATAAATTAATACATCGAGGAAAGGTAACTGGTTTTCTGATTCTATCTCCATGGTGAACTTTATTTTGGGATGGAGGCTGTTCAAATGTACTAAGAAGTTTTCCAATTTATCTCTTCCATGTGGCCAGATCACAAAGGTGTCATCAACGTATCTGAGCCATAATTTTGGTTTGTTAACAGTTTTTTCTAAGGCATTGGATTCGAATTCTTCCATGAAAAGATTAGTGATGACTGGTGATAATGGTGATCCCATTGGTGCACCTTCTACTTGTTTATATCTCTGTCCTCTGTGTATGAAATATGTGTTGGATAAACAATGTTCTGTTAAGTTTGTGATATGTTTTGGTAGTTGATATTTGTTTTTAATTGATGACAAGGCTTCTTTGACAGGTATTTGTGTGAATAGTGATACAACATCAAAGCTTACAAGAAGGTCACTTTCTTTTATGTGTTGCTTTTTTATTATTTGTATGAAATGGTATGAGTTCTGTACATATGAAGCAGCAGATTCTGCGTAAGGTTGAAGATGTTTTGCTAAATATCTGGCTAGATTTTGTAAAGGTGAGCCTATGGAACTTACTATGGGTCTGAGAGGTATTCCATCTTTGTGTATTTTTGGGAGGCCATACGGTTTTGGGCATTTTGATGATTTTTCTCTGGGGATAATTTTTTGTTGAATTTCTTTACTTATACTACTTGATTTTATCTTTATCTTTGTGTTTTTTTCTAGATATGTTGTTGGGTCTGTGTTTATGGGTTTATATGTGGCGTCTTGAAGTAAGTCAGACAGTTTCTTTTCATAGTCCACTGTGTTCATTACTACTGTTGCATTGCCTTTATCTGCTGGTAATATCATACAAAAACATAACATCAAAACCATATTTTGCACAGATAGAAAGATATCGTCCATTCTGAGAAACCCCAAAGACAAAATAGAATTAGAAGATCAAGGCATATATGAAATCCCATGTGCTTCCTGCCCATCAACATACATTGGACAGACCAACAGAAGAATGAGTGTGCGCATCGAGGAACACAAAAACTCAATACAAAAGCAAGAACACACATCATCATTAGTTCAACATATAAATACAACAGGACACAACATTAATTTTAATAAAACAAAAACAGTTGCAAAAATAGAACATCTCAATGGCAGGATAATCAGAGAAGCAATAGAAATGGAAATAAGACCATATTGCATGAATAAACGGGATGACACTTCACGTCTGCCTACTCTTTGGAAACCTGCTCTCATAGATAGACGAATCTTGACACCATATGTGGAACATGGACCAAACATTGCACAAAAAAATCCCAACCAAATCATAGTCAAACCAGCCACAAAGATGAAGCCCTGCCACCTAGTGGAGAAAAACCGACCATGCACCCGAAGCCAAGCCAATAAACACATACTGGGACTCCCAACCAATCAGAATGAAAAGGTGGAGCCATCCCAGAATACCAGCACCAGATTTGAAATTCCAATGTCAGTTAGTGCAAAATGACTGCTGGCATAAGCCTGAAGATGGCAGATGGGATTCTGCCGAAACGTCGCTTCTACCCTTTTAGGGATATATCCACAATTACACGGGAAGAAACCCGAAATATTAACTATACACACATACATACCCGTGAAAACTTACATAAACACACACACACACACACACATATATATATATATATATATATATATATATATATAATATATATAATATATTATATTATATATATATATATATATAATAGCATGAAGGCTATTGCTTAACGCATTGTAAGCCGCCCTGAGTCTCCGGAGAAGGGCGGCATATAAATCAAATTAAAAAAAAAAAAAAATGGGAAAACAACTCAAGAAGCCTGAAAAACTCTGGCTGCCTAAACAGAGGGATAGAATCGAGATCACATGAAGTTTTAGTACCAATTTATAATGCTTTGATCAGGGTGGATTTGATTTAAATCAACTCGATTTAAATAATAATTTTTAAAGAGCAACTGTCACCTCTGCTACTGCTTTGACCTGCTATTGACTCACCGATAGTCCCAGTGTTGCAGAATATACAGCCTTGTGCTACATAACTAAGCTCCATTTCATGCTGAATAAACTAAATTATTTACGTATGTTAAATAGAAAACTATCTTACGATAGATTTTTACCCCAAAAGTTTCTTAAAATAAATTCAATAAAAATCAAAAAAATCTGATTTAAATCAAAAAAATCCGATTTAAATAAAAAAATTCGATTTTTTTTAATTTTTTAAAAAAAATCATTGATTTTTATCCACCCTGGCTTTGATTAAGATCACACTTGGATTACTGCAACCAGTTTTCATCACCACAATATAAAACAGGCGTGGAGACTCTGTAAAGAGCGCAGAGAAGAGCAGGAGGGATAATTAGTGGGTTGCAGTAATTGGGAATGAATCGTCTAGTGAAAGGAAGGACTAGGGGTGACATGATAGCAGTGTTCCAATACTTGAAGGGTCAACTTCTTTTCCAAAGCACCAGAAGGACAAGACAAGAAGCAATGCATGGAAACTAATCAAGGAGAGAAAAACACCTGGAATTAAGGAAAAATCCCATCAGTGAGAACAATTAGCCAGTGGAACGGAATGGCTGCAATTTTCTGCTGCCTGGAAGACTGAAAAAGTCCCTTTTGAGTGAAGGTTGATTCTTCGGGAATGGCTTCCCTCCAGAGGTTGTGGGGGCTCCATTGCTGGTGGCTTTTAAACCGACGGGACAGCCATTTGTCTGAGACGTCATTAAGACCTCCAAGGTTTCTTCCAGCTCTCTTCCAAACCTCCAGTGACGGAGCTCCCTCTGGAGGGAAACCAGCCCCAAAGGCTCAACCTGCATTGGAAGGAGGCTTTTTCAAGCTTCCCACCAGCAGAAATTGCAGCCCCCAGTTTCCCAGCCTGCAGCACCAGTGGGCTTCCATTTGGGGAGGGAAGGAACCTGCAGCAGCCGCAGCTGAGAGGCTTCAGCCCAGTTGCTTCTCCGCTTCCAGCCCAAGTTGCTCCCGGACTCTCCTCCCACCTGCTGCCCTCCACTCACCTGCCAGCTGCTGCTTCCACCATGGAAACAGCACAAAAGCCGCTCTGCACACCAACTTCCTCCCATCAGCCATCCGGAAGAGGAAGTTCCTCTGCGCGTCTCCTCTCCTCCCAGCCTTTCTAGCAATGCAGTACTTGATGATTTTAACTCCTTAAACACAACCACAGGCGCCGCCTGCTGTACCGTCCGCTTTCTAGCCACCGGTGTTGCCTGTTTGAGCGCCATCTCCAGGCAGGCAGAAAAACGCGCTTGTCCCCCCTCTTATCTAAGGCGGTTGCAAGAGGTTTTCACTGATTAAATGCTACCGTCATTTTTGACTTCTGGCAACTGACCCAAACAAAAGAGTGAAATGTGATACCACTAAGCTTACGAAGATTAGCTACGTGCTGAGCCCTGAAAGTTCATGACATTTTATTTTTTTATTTATTTTATTTTATTTTATTTGTAAAGCATATATAAGAAAACATATAAAAGCATAAACGTAATTGGAATACATGAAAAGAATAAGAGTAAAAAGGGACATTAGGCCAGGGACGGGAGGCGCGATGGTGCGCTTATGCCTTACAGACCTCTTAGGAATGGGGTGAGGTCAACAGTAGACAGTCTAAGGTTAAAGTTTTGGGGGTTTGGGGAAGAAACCAGAGAGTCAGGTAGTGCATTCCAGGCACTGACCACTCTGTTGCTGAAGTTTTATTTTCTGCAATTGAGTTTGGAGCAGTTTACCTTGAGTTTGTATCTCTTATTTCCTCAGGTATTGTTGTGGTTGAAGCTGAAGTAATCATTGACAGAATTTTTTTTTGTTTTTTTTGGCAGAATTTGCTATCTTTGGGGGTGACTCTCGATAGAGATCAAGGCCTCTCTACATCCCAAAAGTTTAAAACTGATTTTCTGTGGCTCCCAAGATTTTAGGACCTGCCAGCCCCATCAAGTCAAGATACTCCAAGGGAGTGCTATTTTTAAGGTTTATAAACTGTAGTGGAACATGGAGGATGACTATGTACAGCATTTTATGATTCAGTGGGCAAAGAACTTTGGATGTAAATAATGTTTGAACATTATTCACCTGACATCAAAAACATCATCAAAAAAGCACACCAAAGAATGTTCTTTCGGCGTCAACTCAGGAAGCTCAAACAGCCCAAGGAACTGCTGATACAGTTCTAAAAAGGAATTATTGAGTGTGTCATCTGCACCTCTATAACTGTCTGGTTTGGTTCTGCAACCCAACAAGACAGACACAGACTTCAGAGGATAATTAGAACTGCGGAATATACAGTTACTACCAACCTGCCTTCCATTGAGGACCTGTATACTGCATGAGTCAAAAAGAGGGCTGTGAAAATATTTAGACACCTAAACTGTTTCAACTCCTACCCTCAAAATGACGCTATAGAGCACTGCACACCAGAACAACTAGACACAAGAACAGTTTTTTACTGAATGCCATCTCTCTGCTAAACAAATAATTCCCTCAACACTGTCAAACTATTTCCTAAGTCTGAATTACTATTACTATTAATCTTCCCATTGTTCCTATCACCCATCTCCTCCCACTTATGACTGTATGACCAGGGTGGATAAAAATCAATGATTTTTTAAAAAAATAAATAAAAAAAATCGGATTTTTTTTATTTAAATCGGATTTTTTTATTTAAATCAGATTTTTTTTATTTTTATTGAATTTATTTTAATAAAAAACTTTTGGGGTAAAAATCTATTGTAACATAGTTTTCTATTTAAGATACATAAATAATTTAGTTTATTCAGCATGAAATGGAGCTTAGTTATGTAGCTCAAGGCTGTATATTCTGCAACAGTGGGACTATCAGTGAGTCAACAGCGGGTCAAAGGAGTAGCAGAGATGACAGTTGCTCTTTAAAAATTATAATTTAAATCGAGTTGATTTAAATCAAGACTTTTTACTAGTGATTTAAATCATGATATAAATCATGATTTAAATCGACTCGATTTAAATCAAATCCACCGTGTATGACTGTTACTTTGTTGCTTGTATCCTTCCAATTTATATTGTATTATATTATATTTATTTATATTATATTTATATTTCCTACTATGATTTACTTATTTGTACCCTATGACTATCATTAAGTGTTGTACCTTATGATTCTTGACAAATGTATCTTGTCTTTTTATTTACAGTGAGAGCATATGCACCAAAGACAAATTCCTTGTGTCCAATCACACTTGGCCAATAAAGAATTCATTTCCATTCAATCCTATCCTATCGTATCCTATTCTCAGTCATGGAAAGTCCCCAGGGACTATCCAGACCGACCATTGAGTTACATCTTGGTTTCTCCACATGCCAGTCCTGATCTGCTCCTGGTCACCGAGTATCCTTCAAAGGGATCAGATGCAATGTGACCTACTAAAAACATTGTAACCTGTCTTTTTGAATCTTGTTGGTGAAATGAATGATCTTGGAATTCTTTGGTGTCTTCCAATCCCAGCAAAATCAGAATAATCCATCTGCATAGCTAAAATATCACTTTCACTGCTACAAATAATGTTCCCCTTTAATTGAAGGAATTTTTAAAACAAATTAAGGAGTCCTGGGAGAGAACTGAAAGAACAGGAAAGGTCTCCCATGTGTTGGGGAAGAGAGCGTTGCATTACATTGTCCCAGTGTTTACAGAAATGCTGACACTTTCCTTTTCCCCCCTCAAAATCTATTCATGAGTCTTATGCAATGCTGTTTTAGAAATGAAACATCTACTGTACAATTTTTTTCCTCACATTTCCCTATCAAGGGGGAACCACCAAAGTATCAATCCCTTGGTTCTGCTCACACCTCCCAGCCATCAAAGACTAACAAAGGAGGAACCTCCAAGCAAAGGAGATCACAACAGGAGTTACGAATGAACCTGGAGATCCTGTAGTCAAAAACACAATCCCTTTCCTCAACTCAATATTCCTACAGCTCTTCTCCATGAAGGTCACATGCAAGGCAGAGTAGCCTTTGCATCTGAAATTTTACACTGCTTTTGTCACTGCCCCAAACTCCCCCAATACATTTGCTAGTCATCTGGTTTCTTCCACTTGCGTGCCTCATTCACCACCTGAGCAGACATGCTTGGTGCAATGAATTGTTAGGAAAAGATAAACTATTTCTCTTTCCTCTTGTTTTCTGCTTCCATGAGGACCCACAACCTCTAACTACAGCCTGAGCTCTCTTATCCCGAAGAAATGCTGCCTGGGAAATTCTGGGGTGGAAAATCTCGAGGATACCCAGGGAGAAAAAGGCTGGTACTCTGCATGTGGCATTTCTAGCACTGATTATGATAAAAATGCAGAGAACACTCCTAAAATGATTTTTGCAGAATTGCACAATTTCTGCAGAAATAAATACCCAGCAACTTCTGCTGCTGATGGCCAGCCAGACAGCCATTATCAAACTAACATGTTCCAATTTTTTGTTTCCTCCTTCCCATCTAAGACTATGACATACTTGATGACAAAAACAATCAAGCAAATTCTTTCTGGTCAAATTGAAGTGTTAAATTCTCAGCTGGACTTAAAATTCAAGCCTTTACACTTATCACTTTAGGTCAGAGGTTCCCAAACTTTTTCAGTCCACCACCCCCTTGGTACTACAAACTCACCCTCAGTGCCCCCCACCCAGGGGTGGGTTCTACTTACCTTTACTACCGGTTTGCAGTGGAGCCGGGTGCGCTCACTTCGCTCACGCATGCACACGCTCTTCTGCACATGCACAGAAGCGTTTTGGTTATGTCGGGGAAGGTGGGCGGGACCTCCTGCCAGCTTTACTACCGGTTCTATAGAACCGGGGCAACCCACCACTGCCCCCATCCCCACCCCCTATAAATAGCATTGTTCGGAATAGCGATTTGCACGACCCACTAAGGAAGTCAGTAACAGTAAAATACAGTGGGGCAAAAAATATTTAGTCAGCCACCAATTGTGGAAGTTCTCCCACTTAAAAAGATGAGAGAGGCCTGTAATTGACATCATAGGTAGACCTCAACTGTGAGAGACAAAATGAGAAAACAAATCCAGACAATCACATTGTCTGATTTGGAAAGAATTTATTTGCAAATTATGGTGGAAAATAAGTATTTGGTCAATATCAAAAGTTCACCTCAATACTTTGTTATATATCCTTTGTTGGCAATGACAGAGGTCAAATGTTTTCTGTAAGTCTTCACAAGGTTGGCAGACACTGTTGCTGGTATGTTGGCCCATTCCTCCATGCAGATCTCCTCTAGAGCAGTGATGTTTTGGGGCTGTCGCTGGGCAACACGGACTTTCAACTCCCTCCAAAGGTTTTCTATGGGGTTGAGATCTGGAGACTGGCTAGGCCACTCCAGGACCTTGAAATGCTTCTTACGAAGCCACTCCTTCGTTGCCCGGGCGGTGTGTTTGGGATCATTGTCATGCTGAAAGACCCAGCCACGTTTCATCTTCAATGCTCTTGCTGATGAAAGGAGGTTTGCACTCAAAATCTCACGATACATGGCCCCATTCATTCTTTCCTGTGCACGGATCAGTCGTCCTGGTCCCTTTGCAGAGAAACAGCCCCAAAGCATGATATTGCCACCCCCATGCTTCACAGTAGGTATGGTGTTCTTTGAATGCAACTCAGCATTCTCTCTCCTCCAAACACGACAAGTTGTGTTTCTACCAAACAGTTCTACTTTGGTTTCATCTGACCATATGACATTCTCCTAATCCTCTTCTGGATCATCCAAATGCTCTTTAGCAAACTTCAGATGGGCCCAGACATGTACTGGCTTAAGCAGGGGGACACGTCTGGCACTGCAGGATCTGAGTCCCTGGCGGCGTAGGGTGTTACTGATGGTAGCCTTTGTTACGTTGGTCCCAGCTCTCTGCAGGTCATTCACTAGGTCCCCCCGTGTGGTTCTGGGATTTTTGCTCACCGTTCTTGTGATCATTTTGACCCTACAGGGTGAGATCTTGCGTGGAGCCCCAGATCAAAGGAGATCATCAGTGGTCTTGTATGTCTTCCATTTTCTAATTATTGCTCCCACAGTTGATTTCTTCATACCAAGCTACTTGCCTATTGCAGATTCAGTCTTCCCAGCCTGGTGCAGGTCTACAATTTTGTTTCTGGTGCCCTTCGACAGCTCTTTGGTCTTCACCACAGTGGAGTTTGGAGTGTGACTGTTTGAGGTTGTGGACAGGTGTCTTTTATACTGATAACAAGTTCAAACAGGTGCCATTAATACAGGTATTGAGTGGAGGACAGAGGAACCTCTTAAAGAAGTTGTTACAGGTCTGTGAGAGCCAGAAATCTTGCTTGTTTGTAGGTGACCAAATACTTATTTTCCACCATAATTTGCAAATAAATTCTTTCCAAATCAGACAATGTGATTGTTTGGATTTGTTTTCTCGTTTTATCTCTC